TGCGAAGTGGGAGGGGGGGGACCCGCTATATCTCTGTACAAAACACACACACACACACACACACACACACACACACACACCAACTTTGTATCTGTTAACAGCTGAAGAAAGCAGAACGTGTTCAAAGCTCTGATTGAGGAGGTGTTCTAAGCAGCCAGCCATTATATAGCAGATGGGGGGAGGGGCGCATGCCTTTAGTTCCAGCACTCAGGAGGCAGAAGCAGGCAGATCTCTGCGGGATCGAGACCAGCCTGGTTCACATAGCAAGTTCCAGGCCAGCTAGGGCTACAGAAAGATCCGTCTCAAAAAAAAACAAAAAGAAAAAAAAAAAAGACAAAAACAGCTGTGATGGCACTAGGGTGAAGGGGGCCTTGCCTATGATGCTTCATGGCTCTCCTCACAGAATTTTGAAAGTCACTTTAATGTTACCAGAGAAGTCATTCGTTGAATGAATCAGAAGTGAACGTGAGAGTGTGGGCCAAGGACCATGTGGAAATTCAAATAAGACTAAGCTTACTAAATATGACAAATCATCACATTCTTGTTTTTTTAAGACCACGTCTTATTCTGTAGCACAGGCTAGCCTCAGGTTTAAAGCAGTCCTCCTACCTCAGCCTCCCAAGTGCTGGGGTTTCCAAGACTGAGCCCCCGTGCTCAGCTGTTTTCTTGTTGTTGTTGTTGTTTTGAGGCAGGGTCTTACTCTGTTACCCAGGGTGGCCTGGAACTATACAGCTCTGGCTGGCCCTGAACTTGTACTAATTCTCCTGCCTCAGCCTCCCCAGTGCATCAACCATCACACCCAGCTTTTACCACACATTCCTAAAAAGAAGCTCACTGAAAGATTTCCTTGTTTTCATGTGTGTTTTGGTTCCCTTAGACAAACTTTTCCCACATCCTTTCCCACAGGGTAGGAGGACATCCTTTTACTAATGTCCTACTCACCCTGACTTAGCACCTATAAGACTGTGCAGTGTGATCAGTGTTTATCACTTGAAAACAACAGATTCACATTCAGTTTCACTGTGTTCCATGCAGTTGTCTCCAAAGCATCGACTGTATCACACGGCTGGCTTTTTCCATGTCTCAGGAGATGACATTAATCATGTTAAAAATATCTGCAATTTTCATAATTCAAAGGATAAAAATATGGTATCAGAGGGGGTTGACTGCAATTGCCACCCTGGGTGGATGCTTACGTTCCTTAAAGAAAATGGCACACTGTATTCACAGAGCCTACACAGAGCCTCCAGTGTACTCTAAGTCATGTCTGGATTGCTTACCCTATCTAACACAATGTAAGCATTATGTGAATAGTGTCGTGTTGCTCAAGGAATAACATGAAAATAATCCGCACATTTTCAGTATAGACTTTTAGTATTCCAATTCACAGTTGGTTGAACACACAGATGTACCACTCATGGTTACAGAGAGCTGGCTGTATTAGCATTACTAAGGGGCTGGAACTGTAGCTCACTGGTGGAAGGAAGGTTAGCCTAGAATGTCAGGAGGGTTTAGGTTTAATCCCCAGTACTGCCAAAAAAGAGGGCGAGAAGAGGGGGTAGGAAGGAAACAAGAAGGTAATGGCGGGGGCGGGGAAGAAGCATTGCATTAATATAACAAAGAAAACCTCCATCCTATCCCTCAAGGTGACCCCAGGCTCCTTCAAACCCCTGGGCCACAGCAAGGCCTGAGGAACCTTGCCCCTGTCCAGTGTGGACCGAGATGCTGCGCTTCTGTCCCCAGTAACTGACTCAACCTTTCTTTCAGAATGAGGTGACTGCCCTTCTGAAACCCATATCGGAGAAGATTCAGGAAATCCAGAGTTTCCGAGAGAGAAACCGGGGGAGTGACATGTTCAACCATCTCTCCGCAGTCAGCGAGAGCATCCCCGCCCTGGGGTGGATAGCTGTGGTGAGTGGATGGAATGCTACCCTGCACCTCATCACATTTTAAGGGACCTCATGGCCATCTTCACGCCCCTACATCTGCAGTCAGATGCTTGTAAGGAGGGTTCCTTCAAGGCTAAATGCATCAGCTTTCTCCTACCCTGCTTAAAGCCCGGTGCTTCCTATTCTGAGCTGTGGAAATGTTTCCCCAACCTCTACAGAACACAGACTCCTCCATCTCTCACCCATAGGTCCATTGATTTTCTTCCACTTCTTCAAGGTATTTTCTTTCTTATCCTATTTTTTTTTCTTCTATGCTTGGGTGATGGTCCTGTTTTCTCAGTCCCCCAAACCTGGTCCTTATGTCAAGGAGATGAATGATGCTGCCACCTTTTACACTAACAGGGTCTTGAAGGACTACAAACACAGGTATGTACCTTCTGTTACCTGCTGGATCTTCAGTTGACTGCTTGTCAAACATTTGCTCCTAACACTTAACATAGTTAATTGCTGATCACTTTACAAGTCCCTTCACTTGTGTTCTATGTAACCTTTAAATTAAAATCCCATATTTGAGCTGGGCATAGTGGTGCTCATCTGTGATCCCAATGCATGGAAGGTCGAGAAAGGAAGACCAGGACTTCAAGGTCATCCTTGGCTACATAGTGAGTGTGAACTCAGCCTGAGCTGCATGAGACCATGTGTTAAACAAATGATTAAGACAGTGAGATGGCTTAGTGGGTAAAGGCGCTTGCTGCCAAGTCTGATGACCTGAGTTCAATCCCTGGGACCAACATGAAAGAGGAGAGAACCAACTTCCACAAGTTGTTTCTGACTTCCACCCTCACACCCTGGAGCAAACACATCCATATATGCACAACCACTTATACACACAAATTAATAGATGAATGTAATAATAAAAGGGAGGCTGCAGAGATGGCTCAGATGACCCGAGTTCGGTTCCCAGCACCCTTGTCAGGCATCTCACAACCACCTGTAACTCCAGCTCCAAAGGACCCAATGCCCTCTTCTGACCTCTGTGGGCATCCACATACATGTGTACATAACCACATATATATACTATTATAAATAAAAAAATGAAATCTTAAAAATATAAAATATAAATAATAACATTCCGCTTTTAAAAGGGAAGCCACATGCAAAGGGGAATCAGTTACACGGGTGCTGCATGCATTTTGGGAAGCGTGCACAAGTTCTTGTTCGGTGAATAACCTGTCCCTGCTTGAGCAGGTATCACTGCATTATGGAGTCCTCTCGTTGTCATTATAGCCTGAGCCCATATGGCCACAGAACTCTTTTTTTTCTTTTGTATTTTGAGATAGAGTCTCTCAATCTATCCTAGGCTGACCTTGAACTCATGGCTATCCTCCTGTCTCAGCCTCTCAGTTTCTGGGAATTACAGGCATGTGCTACCAAGTCCAACAGATCAAAGTAGAGGTGGGTGAGAAGAGAGAAGGAAGGGGAATCCAGCAAAGAAGAACAAATCCAAGCCGAGTGGGCTGAGATGACAAACCAGGCAGGGGGAAGGAAACCAGCCCGAGTAAAAATGAAATACAATCTGGAAGACAGAGCCAAGAAGAACGGCAGCTCTCCTGGGCTGTTGAACGGACAGGGCTAAACCAAGGGACTTCGGAGAGCCAGTGCAAAAAGACCTGGCATCCTACAGCGCAGATAATGGATCCTAGAGAGATCAAACTGAGGTTAGAAGGAAAATATGACCAAATGGAGATAAGCCAGAGCTGAAGAGACATCCAAGAAAATGTCTTTTAAACTATTTACAGAGTGTCATGAGATGTCTCACCCTCTGATAAGGTCATGCTTTGCCCTGTAAACAGCTGGCTAAGCGTGCTGTGGCTGGTCCCTCCTCACTAAAGGAAGAGTTGAGACAAAAATAAGAGCAGCAATATTCCACTGTCTGGCTCTGGGCTCCAAAGCCTGGGTCCCTCTGAGCTCTTCCATGGTGCCCGCAGAGGAGACCATTACTCAGCCAGAGCAAGGGCCCCTGGGGACAACTCTTCCTTGCTCCAGATTACTCAGATGGAAGGGACTGGAGGCCTGAATTTTATAAATTATCACCTTGATAATCTTACTAATTCAGACCTGAAAATCAGAACCAGAAGACAAATTTTCAGAGAACGTGGCATAAAGTATAGACTATAAATACCTATCAGAGTTCTAACTCATTGGCCAGGATGGGACCCATTGTCTTCTGGGGGGTTGTTTTGGGTTTTGAGACAGGGTCTTGCTATGGATCCCAGAGACTGGCCTCAAGCTCACAACCCTCCTGCCTTAGCCTACTGAGTGCTGGGAGTGCGAGCATGTGCCACCACACCAAGCTATTTTTTAAAACAAATATTCAGTCAGTACCGAAGAATATTTATGACACATCTGTGAGGTGTAGAGAATTATAATACACAATTATAATACCATGTTTCCTGGGCTCATTTTAAGAAATATGTACATATGTATGGGGTTGTTTGTTTCTGTTGTGTTTTGTTTCGTTTTGTTCAGACAAGACCTTGCTATGTAGCTGAGACTGACCTGGAACTCCCTCTATATCCTAGGCCAGCCTCAAACACATGGTGATCTTCCCGTCTCAGTCTTCCAAGTGTTGGGATGACAGATGTGCACCACCACACACTGGGCTCCAATATTTTTCACTATCATAAACAGCCTTGCAATTCCTTGTAATACTAAATATATAACCAAAGGAAACGAAAACAGTCTTATTCACAGTAGACAGAAAGCAGGTGCAACACACATGTCTGTCAGTTAATGAATAAATAAACATTAAGTGGTCTATCCATTCAGGAGAACGTAACTTGGCCATAAAAAGACTGAAGCACAGACAGGTGGTGATACAGATAAAACTTGGAACATCGTGCAAAGTAAAAGAAGCCGAAGGAAAACATGTATGTTATAGAATTCCATTCACATGAAACTCAGAACAGATAAATCTATACAGACAGCAAGTAGATGCTTAGGGCTGGAAAAATTTATGAGAAATAACCAAAATAAAAGTCAAATAAAAATAAAGTTCATGAGAGTAACAACAGGTGGGTATCAGATTTCTTTGTGGGTGATGAAAATGTTGTAAAATTATTAAGCTAAGCTAAACTACTGAATTCTATGGTTTAAATGTGTTCATTGGGCTGGCAAGATGGCTCAGTGGATAAAAGGACTTGCTGCCAAGCCTGATATGAGCTTGACTCCCAGGGTGCACATGGTAGAAGGAGAGAATTGAAAATTTTCCTCTGATGTCCATACACAGCATGGTGTATGCACACACACACACACACACACACACACACACACACACACACGCAAATAAATTATTTTAAAGATTTTTAACGTGCTGTATATGACATGTTTTAATAACTGTATTACTTTTTGTGGCACTGGGCCTTGCACATACAAGGTAAGTAGTGCTCTATATTGACCTATATCCACCATGTTAAAGTTTTTTTATTAAGCCCTAGCTTCTGTGTTAGCAAAACAGGCCTTGAAGTTTTTAGGAATAGCATCATTGGCAAGCAGAACTATTAATTCCAGAGTCTGCAGTCCTGCTTCACCTCCCAGGGTCTGTCTAGATCCTGAGGGAACCTTCATTAAAGTAATCAAGCTCGCTGGTCTTCTCACACCTCCAAACTGTATTGAGGCAAGTGTCTAAGTCATACAGGACCGGGTGTTACAGTGTGCTATTAAAGCTCGTAGACATGTAAGTGTGTCTGAAAGAAGGTCCCAGAAATGCAAGATAGACTGCTCTTTTCACATAAGAGCAGCACTTCAGAAAATAGAAAGTTTAAGTTACCAAACCTGGGTATAACAATAGGCTGTCAGGAATACAGGCCCAGAGTGATTGCTTTATGCTGCGTGCATGGACACGTCTATATATATATGCCAGTCTAGGACAGCATAGCTCAGACTTCTTTTAGCAGATCACCCTTGCAAACCATTTTTATTTGTATCCGAGTTCATCAGCTCACACCCATCTCCCAGAACCTACTTAAATTTATGTTGGGACCGCAGGTGTAATTCTTCCCAGGCAGCAGCATCGCCAAGAAGCTTGGGGTTTCTCACATTTTTGCATCTATACAATGCAAGCCCAGTCTTTTCCCTCCCAGGTTGGTTGTTGCAGTGCTAAGCATAGAACCTAGGGCTTCACACGTGCTAGACAAGCACTTTCCCGCTGACCTACATCCTCAGCCCTCTTTTCACTTGAAGTTTTCATTTTGAGATAAGGTCTCACTAAGTTACCCAAGCTGACCTTGAACTCACTCTGTAGTCCAGGCAGACCTTGACAATGCGATCCTGCATCTCAGCCTCCTAAGTAGTTGTGATTACAGGTCTGTGCCACCAGGCTAGGCTCAGGCTTTGCCCCTTGATGTCAGCTAATAACATTAAGTATAAAATGAACTTCAGTGAGTGTCATGGTGCATCCCAACAGTAGAGCACCTGAAGAAGATACAGTGAGCCAGGGAAGTGTCACCAGAGGCTCAGATTGGTTCATCTGGGTCCCATTGCCCACTTGAGCACTTTGCACTGGTAAGTTCATGGTCATGGTCCCAGAGCATCCCATGCCATTAGTATCAGTCTGTAGGTAAAGCCTCCAAACTCCTGCAGGACCTTATCCTATGTGACAAGACCATGGAAGAAGGAGCTGAAAGACAGGCTTCCCTGTGGTTGGAACAGAAGGGCCGCAGGCCAGGGCCTCTGCTTCTGTGCTGTCCTGGAAACTAGCTTGGCTGGTTGTTGGCTCCTTTTTCTATCTGAACAGAGCAATTCCATTGCATTGGCTCTGCCAAGGTATGATTTCCTTGCGAGCACAGCCTCTTCCAGAGTCACTGAAAGCTGAGGGAGACTCTCAGCTTCTCTGTGTTTGCATCCTGCTCAACTGATCTCTTAGAGACTAACTTCAGGTAAAGGTATCCTGCATTCCTGAATTTTTTTCTGGAAATTTCTCCAAGTCAAAATAATATTGCAATGGTTAAAAGACAAATGCATTTTCCTATACAGATTTGACCTTCAGTGGTTGTTAGAATTATTAATGTAGTTATTCCTTCCTCCATTTTTTTCTGGAATGTTCTCCAAGTCAAAATAATAATGTGATGGTTGAAAGAAAAACCATTTGCCTATACAAATTTGGCCTTCATTGGTTCTTAAAACTTTTAACAGGACAGTGTTAAATGTGTGACATGATATCTCGACAGTGGATATAAACTGCCTTGTTGATGTATAAATGCATCACAGAGGACAGATGCATCAGCATAGGCTGAGCATTTATGTAAACATGAGCGGGCATTTATACTGAAGTCTCTTGTGAGCTAATAATAGCTACTGTACACACTGCTCCTATGCCCAAGGCACTTACTAAAAAGCTCCACAAAACATTCTAGAACATGGCCACTAAAGAGAGAGACCTGTGAAGCCACACTCCCTTTGTGAGTTTTGACTATGAAAGCAAGAGTAACAATAATTCTTCATAGACTTGATTAATATAGCCAATAAATCAAAATTGTAGAACAAAACCACACTTGAATTTTTCCTCTTTGAAAAGTGAATAATAAGGAATTCAATCCCTTTGTTAGTTATTTTTCTCCTGGATATCAGCAAATACCCAGCAGAAACAACCCAAGATGTGGAGGATTATTTTGACAAGTAGTTCAGGGAATATAGTCCATCATGGTGGAGAAGGCGTACATCAGGACCAGCTTGTGGCAGCGGGAGATTGCTCACATCTAGGCAAAGCAGGAAGTAGAGATGGGACAGGAAGTGGGGTTAGGCTATAAATTGAAAGGCCAACCCCACAGTGACCCACTTCCTGCAAGTAGGCACCACCTCTTAAAGGTTCCACAACCTTTGAAAACAATGCCAGGAACTAAGGACGAAGTCTTCAAGCATATGACCCTGTGCGAGGTGTGTCCCATCGAAACCTGCAGTCCCCTCCTCTCTGTCCTTAGTGGGATGGCTTACTACAGTGCTAGACATACCCTTGGTACTTGAAATATTTCAGGAAAAACAATATATGGGTAAGGTCACTGTTGTCAGGAGGTTTAATAATAGAATTTTCCTTCTGTGATTATCTTCAGATTAATGACCTAGGTTCATAATCAAATTTTTGTTAACTCAAAACTCATTTTTCTCACTTTCTACCCACTGCTTCCTTCAAAGTGAAGAGTACAGTATTGTGGGTGAAAACTGCCTAAACAAAATGCAACCATTTTTGCTTATATTAAATAAATGTACTATTCCTAACAGTTCTTCCAGTCCTGTATGTTAGCTCTGCTATATAAGGTAAACATTTTACTAGTTCTTCATTTAGTAAAATAAAAATAAAGATAACTTATCAAACTCCACCTAGCTCACATTGTCAAGAACACCGACCACTGCTTCCTTCAAAGTGAAAAGCACAGTATTGTGGGTGAAAACTGCCAAAACAAAATGCAACCATTTTTGCTTATATTAAATAAATGTACTGTTCCTAACAGTTCTTCCAGTCCTGTATGTTAGCTCTGCTATATAAGGTAAA